TGGCTGAAGCTTGAGACTCTTGTTCAGTCAATATTGAATAGCCTAAGTAGCCCAAATACTCCAGGCACCGCTGTACATCTAAATAGGTCGTGAGCCTAAGAAATAGAAGAATATAAATGTGAAAAGTTCCTCAATGAACATTTATAGAAAAAAAAATTCCAACAGCTCAAATACTTTTACCACCAGATGCAGATGGGTTTTGTCAGGCTGCCTAATTTCCCATGTGCCCAACCATGGCTCTTTCTACAATGCATTCTTAAGACAGAGAAGGGAGGAGAATGCAAGATGTGGGGGGATTCCATATCTCAACCTGCCCAAGAGAGAGCAAGGCCACATAGATGAGCAGTGAGCTGCTGGTAAATCTAGTGCAGGGATTTTTGAAAATAATTTGCTTCCCAAGTTACATAGTACACTGCAAATACTGGCTAGTTGAGAACTTAATGATAATTAATCTGAAAAGGTTTGTGAATGGAGCAAAAATAACTAAAAGGTACAAGTCTTTTTGTGGGATAACACCACTCCCACAACATCCTTACCTAATTACTGGAAATTAGGTAGTCTTTTTATGATTTGAAAAAAGAATAGATTCTGGTATTAAGAAAAGTTAGTCTCCCCAAGATTAAAGAAATTATGTCCTCAGACACGACCAGAGGATTTCCTTAGCGCCCTAAATACAATGTCTACTAGGCTATACCCAGACTAGACAAACCCTCACTAAGAATACGTGACAAACAAAAAAAACCCGTAAGTCTTCAGTGCCAAGTAAAATATGCTTTCGCCATATCCTAAAGGTATAATGAATTTTGCAATAGCAATGATGTTTCCAATTCTCTTAATAAAAAATGGATTAAAATTTAGCTCACTTTTGATATGACTTATTACTGTTTCCATGTACATCATACAAAAGTAAACAGATTGATTGAAACACCTAGTAAGATCTGAAAAACTTACAAACTGATTAATGTAATGCAACATAATTTTAAAGTAGTGACAATTCTAGAGCTAACAGGTGAGCTCTATACTCACGTCCACTGGGAAAGGAATCCCTGGTAGGTTATCCAGCCTCTTTCATTTGTACAAACTGTGTTATTCACATCTGGCCCCCAAG